ATGGGGAGGACTGGGATGGCTCTGCGGGCTTCTGGGGGTGGAAGCTCTCCTGCAGCCCCCCAATTATCCCCTCTTCCCAGATGGCAGCCTGCGGCAAGTGCAGCCGGTCTGATGGCCAAGTGCTGTGATGTGCCCAGTGTGGGCACTCAGGGCACTCCAAGCAAGGACTGCTTTGCAAGTGGGGAACCCCTGAGAACTGTCTGTCCGGGGTGGGGGGTCGGGTCCCTTTAAGCACAGCCCTCGGCTAGCCTGAGACAGCAGCTCTATGCTCTAAGTCCTCATCTGATGCCGTGCCGGCACTGCTTCCGGCCATCCTTAACCCCGGTTTAGGGTCCACTTAATGTGGACATGCTAGTTCGAATTAGCAAAACGCTAATTCGAACTAGTTTTTTAGTCTGGATGCGTTAGTTCGAATTAGCTTAGTTCGAATTAACTAATTCGAACTAAGTTAGTTCGAATTAGCGCTGTAGTGTAGACATACCCCATGAGCCTGGGAGGAAGAGGATAAGGTGCTTCGCAAGCTGCCTGTTGACAACAGGCAGCTCCCTTTTCTGGCGAATGGGATTGTCCTGGGGACAGGAGCACTACATGAAGCACCACTCCCTCCTCCCCAGGGCTCACAGATGTGCGGTATGAGGGGAGGTGCAGGGTAGGCATGGAGTCTGCCTGAGGCTCCCCGATGCGTCTGTGGGCTGGATCTGGTGGCTTGATGGGCCATATTTGGTCCATGGAGGGTATTTTGCCCAGGCCTTCCCTAAACAGTAAGGGTATGTTGACACTACAAAGTTAATTCGAAATAACAGCAGTTATTTTGAATTAAATTTAATAGCGTCTACACAGGCAAACCGCTATTTTGAAATAAATTCGGAATAGTGGAGCCCTTATTTCGAATTTGGTAAACCTCATTCTACGAGGAGTAACACCAAATCTGAAATAGCTATTTCGAATTAAGTGCTGTGTAGACACTTAATTCGAAATAGGAGTCACTTCCCCTTTGAAAACCACTGGCTGGGGGGTGGGGGGGAGGCAGGAGCAAGGTCTGTGCACTGTGGATTCAGGGGGCATCATGAATCAAGGCTTCAGCCTGGGGAGGGTGGTTCCTGAGAATTCAGCTCATGGTGGGGCCAGCGGGGATTGGGGCATCAGCACCATGGTTGGCTGGGGCTGCGCTTGACTGCAGACTGACCAAACCAGTGGGAGCGGGGGTGGGTGCACCGCTCTCCAGGAGCAGTCTGCCAGGTCCAGGAGCCTGACAGGGGCTGGAAAAGGCGGGCGCCTTCCTGGTCCAGAGTGGAGATCATGGACCTTAGTCATGTTTGGGGGGATGCCCCCAATGTCCATGATCTCCGCACTAGACAGAGGAATGCGGCCATCTATGGCAGGATAGCTGCTAGCCTGGCCACCAAAGGCCACATGAGAACCCAGGAGCAGGTTAGCATGAAAGTCAAGTTGGTCTGGCAAGACCCAGAACCCTGATCCTGAGCTTTCCCTCCTGCTTCTTCCCCTTGCTTCCCGCTTCCAGCTCCCTCCTCCCAGGTTTCCCCCTCTCCTCTTCCACCCTCTCTCTTCCCCTATCCCACCTCCTTTTCCCCGTCTTCCCAGAGGTTAATCCCCCCCCTCCAGTTTTGTTCAATAAATCCAGTTTCTATTTTTGAACATACGTGTCTTTTATTTGACATCAGGAAGGGGGGCTAGGGAGGGGTAAGTGGAAGGACATGAGGGAGGAATGGGTCACAAGCCCCTGGTGGGGAGGACTGGGGAGGCTCTCAGGGCTTCTTGGGATGGATGCTCTCCCCCAGGGCCTCCTGGATCCTGACAGCCCCCGATGGACCCCCGCAGATGGCAGCCTGCAATAAGTGCAGCCGGGCTGATGGCAATGACCCCACGAGATGCACCGGCGTGCACAGGGGCAGCTCTGGCTCCATGTGGCGAGTGCTGTGGTGTCCCAAGTTCGGGCACTCAGGGCACTCCAAGACAGGACTGCTGTTCTGGCCCTCATCGAGGTAGACAAGCAAGCAGGGAACCCTGAGAACTGTCTGTCCAGGATGGGGGTAGGGTCCCTTTAAGCACGGAGCTCAGTTAGCCTCAGGCAGCAGCCCCACACACTAAGTCCTAACTTGATGCCCTGCCAGCACTGGTTCCAGCCAGCCTTAACTTCGGTTCTGGGTCCATTCAGTGTGGATGTTCTATTTCAAAATAGCAAAATGCTATTCGAAATAGTTTTTGTGTGTAGATGCGTTAATTCGATTTAGCTTAATTCGAATTAACTATTTCGAATTAAGTTAATTTGAAATAGCACTATAGAGTAGATGTACCCAAAGAGCTAGGACCACCAAATTTGGTACACCGCTTACTCTTATCATAATTTAAAGCAAGGTAAGGGTTTGGCTGTGCCAGGACAATGGAATGTGCCTGGAATGGAAAAGCTTCTCATATAAATATACAGAAAAGCGACAGAATCTCCAGGCAGGTGATAGGGGCTTGCTGGAGGCACCTGCCCCCATCTGGGACTGCTCCAAGCCCCAGCCTCCCATCCCCAAGCACCTTTTAGGGAGCGTGGGAGGGCTGAGGTTCCTCCCTTCCCATTCATATGGGGACATTGCTGGCAGTTCCCCTTCATCAGGGAGAGAGAGGAAAGTGCACAGCTGTGTTCCCTCTAATCTTCACAGGTGATTAATTAGCCCCGCCCAGTCAGTCAGCTCTATGCATGGAGCCCTGAGTCTCTGACTGGGCGGGGCTGATTAATCACCTGTGAAGCTGGGGTCCCCTGCAGCTTAGAGGGAACACTGGTGCACAGTGCACAGTTTGCATTCCCTGCCTCTGGCTGGGAAGTGCAGGGGGCAGATGAACCCAGACCTGCCCTAGCTGGGGGACATGCACCCCTCTCCTGCTTGTGCCTTCTGGAGAAAGGCCTGAAAGTCTTCTTTCTCAGGGACATCCTGCATATTGAACTCCTCATCTCCAGCCCCACCCAGAGCAATAATTTAAATGAAGCATGGACATTTTCATTTTATTTTGCAAAACCCCCAAAATTAATCTAGTTAAGGACCAAAGCAATGGCAGGTAAATTCTTTAGTATTATATATATAAATATTTGCCCTTGGAAGCTGCATCTAGGGCTAAAAAGAGTTTTATATTCAGATTGCAAGCATTATTTTGCTCAGTAAGAAATCTTTATTTTTAGTTACCTAACAAGGTAAGTCTGGTTTCCAGATGCTGTGCTGTGTCCATTAGCAGCTCATCTCTATTATCAATTGCTGCTTCTGCCTCATGACGAAAACTGGCCCATTTCCGAAAGTCGTCTTCGCTCAGAACCTGTGTCACATAGTGAGATTTAGGTAGCTCATTTGTTCAAACTGTGTGTGGTCTGTGGCTCAACTTTGTGCAACACAACTGTTTCCGGACAGTTCACTGAATTAAACAAAACCAAGTAGCAAGCAATGGGGAAGAACTGGGGAGAGTAAAGATGTCTATGAGAGACTCTTGCTGCAAAACTGAATGGCTACATAATGGAAAGTTTGGATGGGTTGAGTATTGTTGAGCTAGAATGCTGAGTGTCAGGGGGTGTGCATATCCCGCACTGAAGCAGATGGGGTTAAAATCCTGTGAGCGGAGGAAGTCCTGCCCCTTCACCCAGACTAGGCATACTACAAATGCTGGGCAGCATAAAAGACAGCAGAGCAGTTCAGTCTGGGTGGGCTACTGAAGGAGAAGAACCTTCGACCAGAGGTCCAGGGCTTTACCAGCCAGCAACCCAGCCAGCCGGAGACAAAGCCCCAGGAGAACACAGCTCCAGAGCAACCACAGTGTGGCTTTTGACTTGAAGCATAAGAGTTTATAATTCTTACATTTCTCAAGTCCTAAATCTGTTCACATGTACAGGACAACAAGAAAAGCATCGATCTAACAAGTCTTACCTTCTTAGCAATGCACAGGGTTCGCAGGCCATACCGTGCATATCCGTCCAGATGTTTCTGTGTCTTAGCATGTATTCTTCTCATCTTCTTCCCTGTATTTAGGTCAGCTGTGAAAAACAAGTAATCAACTACTTATTTCAAGCACAGAACATTCCAAACCCAACAGTCAAAGGAAGGAAGAAAGAAAGAAAGCAGGTCACATAAAAGCCTGTATACTAGCAGAAGAGCAATCCCTTTCAAAGTCCATAAATATAGGTTGGACCTCCCTGGTCCAGTACCCTCAGGTCCTGACCACTCCTAAACAAGGGAGTTTGCTGGACATAAGGAGATACCCTGCTACTGCCCCCAGCCCACTGACCATCCCTGCTGCTGGCTCCGCTTCTGGCCCAGCCAGCCCCCTGCCTCTGGCCCAGCTAGGAGGCTGGCCTCAGCCAACCCCCGGCCACTCTATCACTGGCCCCAGCCAGGATCACTGAGAGCTCATTGGCTGCCTGGCTGGGACTGCTGCGAGCTCCCAGCCCAGGCTGGGGCTGCTGGACACCATCCCACTGCCACTGGACTCCCAGACTGGGGCTCTCTAGTCCAGAGACATCTGTGGTTCAGTTGCTAGACCAGAGAGACCCTGTTTAGGGAGGTTTGTTCTCCTTAACCCCAACAGCATGTTAATTTCTTGGCTCTGAGTTATGCACCAAGATGGCATTTCTTGATCTTCTTTATGTTACAGCTCCATTACTACCAAGATAAAATACACTGGTTGGATCTGTATGACAATATTGTGTAGTACATTATTCAGGTAGTTTAGGCTGCCTATGAATCTTGATTAGCATTTCCATATTCCAAGCACTCTTCAGGATAAACAAACATCTTAATATTCATCTGCAGTAACAATATTACATGGGATGTATTATCCCTCTATAGCAGTGGTCTCCAACTTTTTTACACCCAAGATCACTTTTTAAGTCTCAGAACAAGTGAAGATCTACTGCCCCGCCCCTTCCTTGAAGCCCCGCCTACATTACATGAGGAAATCTAATGTAAATGCACTGTGCAGGTGCGCAGTTCAGAGAGGGCTCAAGAGCTACTCTTGGAGCCCCTGAGATCTACTGGTAGATCGCGATCTACTGGTTGCTGTCCACGGCTCTATAGTCTTAAAGCTTAGATACAATATTTTATGCAGGGAAACCTGTAAACTTTCAGTACTTAGTACCAGACAACATAATGGTAACAGTTCACTAGGTAGTGCACCAATTACCTTTGGCAGGGTCTTCCAGTAAATCCATTATGACAGAATCAGCTCCCTTGGTGTAGACAATGATCTCTTTGGTGAACGGGTGCCTCACCACTACAGACATCCTTTTTCGGACTGAGTCAAAACCCAAAGTGCAAAGTATGTCAAAGGTCAGGAGGGTACCTTGTGGCAACCTCACAGTTACTTGCTCAGGAGTTCTGGACATTAAAGTGAAACCGTAAGCTCGGGCAGCATGGACAAGGGCTGCCTCATCTGGACTCTCAGCCTCGTAACAAAATTCTGGCTGCAAATGGCCTTGACTAACGAACCCAAACTCCTCATCCAAAGAGGCACCCCCAATCTCTGTGCTGCCTTTCCAGGACATTGCACCAGCTGTACTATCATCTTTGTAGTCACCATCTGTTGAACGGGTGCAGGTTTGGGTGGACATTTCATCTTTGTTACAAGAGTCTCTGGCAGTTGGATTCTCTTTATTGTTCTTTGCATTGAAACTTGCTTCTAGGTCTGAGCTGGACTGAGTCAATGAGAAAGATTGACCAAGATTTGCTAATTTTAGCCGTTGGAGAAGCTGGTGAATCCTTTCCAGAGAGATCCCAGATGGTTTCATTAGTGGTGGGGCTGTAACCTTGATTAGACATGAGAAGACATTAACAACTTTGCACCTGAAATTAAATAATGTGAGTCACAGAGATATTTGCAAATTTCCAGTACACCAAAGTAATGATTTTTTTAAAAATGTGACTGTCCCTTTTCTAACAAATTATGTCAAGGGATTTTTAGGAGAACTGTTAGAATTAAGTTAGCTTCTAGATTTGTTAGTGATCTCTGGCAGACACAGAACGGTACCCTAAAAATCTCACCAACTATAGGAAATAACTAAGCAAGCTTTTATCGTGATTAAACCTTGTAGCATTCAAAATATTTCCTAAAGTATAAGGGAATGCTGCAGACACTGAGGTAGTCATATTGATTTATCATATGTAACATTGGCAACATTGGTAACATTGATTTATCATATATAACATTCTTAAGAGCCACCTTGCTAAATAGGGGGTATGTAGGTAGGGATGGAGCAGAACTGGTTACGAGCCATTGCAGACACAAGAATAAATGGATATAAACTAGCATCAGCAAATTTAAGTTTGAAATTAGGCAAAGATTTCTAACAATGAGATAAGTAAAGTTCTGGAATGGCTTTCCAAGGAGAGCAATTCAGGCAAAAAAAAAAAAAATCTAACTGGCTGCAAGACTGAGTCTGACAAGTTTATGGAGGGGATGGTATGATGAGACTGCCTACAAAGGCAAGTAGCTGATCTGTGTCTGCTACCAGCAAGTATCTCCAGTGGCTGGAGTTAGATGGAAAGGGCTCTGAATTGCTATAGAAATTTTTTTTCTAAGGTGTCGGGCTACTGCATCTGACCATTTGCTGAGGGTCTGACTGATCACCATATTTGGGCTGGGAAGGAAGTTTTCCCAGATCAGAGTGACAGAGAACCTGTTTGTTTTCACTTTCCTCTGCAATACAGGGTATGGTGCGCTTTCAGGTTTAAACTAATATAAATGGTGGATTCTCTATAATGAGGCCATTGGTTTGAGGACTCTAGTCGGGTTACTGCAGGAGTGGGTGGGAGAGGTTCTATGGCCTGCAATGTGCAGGACGTGAGATTAGATGATCATGATGAGTCCTTCTAATCTTAATGGTTGGATAGCTGTCATTGGAGTTACTGCAGGCAGAGTAGAGAGAGCCATATGGTAATTCCAAAGCAGGGCTTTTTCACCATTGCAGTTAGCTTTCGATTTTATTATACATATTTTAAGCAAATCAATTTTCCTTACAAATTTAAAGTGCCATTACCCTTTGTCTTGGCTCAGTTGCTGTGGAGACCACAACAGTATTACAGATGGCCAGTGCAAGAAAAAAGTCATTAATGGATGTGGTGCAGCAGGTGTCCTTTCCAGATGGAAATGATGTCAAAGATTCTATCTGTAGTGACGCTTCTCTCACTTTCATCAACAGCCTCTTATCAGGAGTCACATCCTTTTCCTGAAAAAGAAGTTATTCAGTAAGGATCCCCCACATTCGGAATTGTGCATGACCTACACCTTAGGTCTTCAAGAGCATTCAAGAAATACTTGTGCAGAATCATATAATGTAAACATCTTATGTACTCAGCATATAGAAAAAAGGATAGAATTCCCATTGCCACATAAATAGGTTGTCAAGGTCACACATCGTCACTAATGAATTTTCTGGAAGAATACATTCTCCATCTGAGAGGCTATATTATATCAGCTATTATGATGATGAAGGGTAGAATAAGAACCTACATAGAATAAAACAGAAAAATGATCACTTTCCGCAAGCCCAGCAAAGTGCAAGTCAGGCCAGAATCTAATCCTAGCTAATTAAAATTAATGTTCTGCAATTTACACTCTGGCTGACAACCCATACACAGCTCTAAATGGGCAGATCCTTGAAACCATTGACCATTGAGTTGAATGGAACACTAACAGGGAGAAGTGACCACCCAAGTGAATCTGCTTGCAAGTTTAGGGCCTATGTTTAATTTTTGCACTTCACTCTGTGTGGTCACTTTCACTTTTTGTTCTCTTACCATAATGTTATTTCCAAAAAATGCAAGAAATCATACCCCTCAAAGAGCTTTCACTGATGTTTTCTCTAAAAATCATTAATTCCTGTGATGTGGTTTTGTAATTCTTGGCTCCCTTTGATTTTTAATAAATTTGAATTTAATTTTGATAAGAACTTCCAGATTTAAAATACATAGGTTTGAATGAGCCAAGGTGTGATGGTTCATCTCCTCATGCTTTATGAAATGGACTTATGGACACACATATGCATATTTCAATGATGCTTTGGACAAGTTACCTCATGTAACCTTTCAATCTTAATGTCATAATCTGCTGGGTCTGTAAATCTTTTTTTGGTGTATTCTTGTGTGTAAAGTTAGATATATCAAGCATGGAAAGGTTTAAAATGTGTAAATGCAAGCCTTCAAGGGTGTTTCCCTCAATGTCTGGGTGATCACCTGTAAACAGCCTCTTTTGTCTTTGAGTCCAAGCAGTGGTTGAAGTCAAGTGACCACCCAACTGGTAGTGTCTGACCAAGTAAATTTCCATGCAAGGGTGGAATGGAGAAACAGAATTCACACCCAAAGTGGAATCTATAAAACAATGGGAAGCTAGCTGTCCCTTTGTCTTGGCTGGCGTGGCACACCTAAGGGTATAACTAAAGACCCCAGGGAAATGAGGCTTAGCTGGAATAGAACAGTTTGGAGGCTTAGCTGGAATAGAACAGTTTTAGGGTGAGTTTGTAATAAGTTTGTGATAAGTGTTAGAATTAGCTGTGCATTTTTTGTTATTTTAAATGTGTAAATTACTTTGCTTTGTCTGTTTTTTCTCACACACATTTAAATCCTACTGCTTGTACTTAATAAAATCACTTGTATTTACTATTAAGCCCAGTGTAAATAATGTTTTACACTCCTGGGGGAGCAACCGGTGTGTATATCCTCCTTTTATTGTTAAAGAGGGATTACCTAAATAATTCATGTGGGGATCTGATTCCATCTGGGCAGTAGTTTTCTTGGAAGCTGGGCCCAAAACAGCATTTTCCTCAGTGTCTATTGCTCCTCGGAGAGATGAGGGGCAGAGGGCGGTGATCTCAGCTTGGGGCCTTGGTTGGGGGAGACCAGAGGAGCTGGCCCAGGAGGACAGGGCAAGGAGAAGCCCCAGAGAACAAGAAGACAAGTGTTAGTGGCCTTGTCAGCACTCCAGGAAGTACCCTACAAGGGGTCTTCTGTGACTGCACAGCGAGCAAGGTTGTGCACAGCTGGTTGCTCTGAATGCTAGTAGTAATTTTAAGTATGTTCTAGGCATGGTTTTTAGAGGACAAAGTAGTTACTGGTCTGTTATTTTCTGTTTGCTTATTTCAGGTAAGGGAAATAAAGGCAGGAAAATCAGCAAAATGCGTGATAGTGAGGTTCAGAACACATTGGAGCTGTACAGAGACAAATGGAGTTAAAGAGGCTTGAGATAGAAGCCCAAGCAGCCTGGGAGAAAGCTGCCCATGAGGAAACCCTAAAATTAAAACTTGAAATAGACAGAGAAGAAAGAACTCAAAAAGCCGCTCATGAAAAAGCCCTGGAATTGAAAGAGCTTGAACTATAGACTGCTCATGATTTAGCCTTTTGAGCCAAGAAAAAAGCCCTAAAATCTGCTTGAGAGAAGAAGGAAAAAGAGAGACTGCATGAACTGACTGTACTTGTCTTCAAGAGTAAGCACACCAATGCTACAGGACCCTCCTTCCCCAAACTCAAGAGTGGCACTGACTGTCTCCCAGTAATTATATGTCTGGAGGTCTTATCAAATATTTCATCATCTGCAAAAGACTATCTATTTCAGGAATGTCAAACTCAAAGCCTACTGAGGGCCGCACAATGAAAACTGATAACTTTCAGGACCACCAAAGAAAATGTACTTCTAGCCAAAAGTTGTAATTATTTATTACTATAGATTATGTTTTAGGTATATTTTATAATATTTTTTCAGGTCTTGTTTGAATATAATACAGTAACTTGATGTGTAAAATTGTTGTTATTTGCATCCATGAAGACTTTGAGTTTAAGGTGCTTCATTCCCCCCGCTCTAACACAATGCCCTCCCCCAGAACCAGGCACCCTAGCCCCCCTGCTCTAACCCAATCCCCTCCTCTCCCCCATAGCCAGGCACCCCCATGCCTCCATTCTAACCCAATCCCCTCCCCTCCCCCGGAGCCAGGCACTCCCATCCTCCTCCCTCTCCGCTCTAACCCAATACCCCTTGTCTCCCCCAGAGCCAGCCATCCTCTGCTCTAACCCAATGCCTCCCCCCTCCCCCAGAGCCAGGCAATCTCAGCTACCCCCCATCTTGTTCTAACCTAATGCCTGGGTCCTAGAGCCACTGCCACCACCACCACACACTTCTCCTCCCGGCACTGGGGCATGTGCACAGAGTGGCTGGGCA